AGAGAGTTTTTTTAATTTATTCATTTTATGGAATATGGGCATCGCTAGCTGGGCCAACATTTACTGCCCATTCTTAGTTGCCCTTCAGAAGGTGGTGGTGAGCTGCCCTCTTGAACCACTGCAGTCCATCTGCTATGGGTTGGTCCACAATGCCATTTGGGAGGGAATTCCAGGATTTTGACCCAGCGACAGTGAAGGAACAGCAATATATTTCCAAGTCAGGATGGTGAGCGGCTTGGAAGAGAACTTGAGGTGGTGGTGTTCCTATATATCTGCTCCCCTCGTCCTTCGAGATGGAAGTGGTCATGGGTTTGGAAAGTGCTGTCTGAGGATCTTCAGTGAACTTCTGAAGTGCATTTTGCAGACAGTACACACTGCTGCTACTGAGAATCAGTGGTGGAAAGAGTGGATGCCATGCCAATCAAGTGGGCTGCTTTGTCCTGGATGGTGTCAAGCTTCTTGACTGTTGTAGGCAAGCGGGGAGTATTCCACCACACTTCTGACTTGTGCCTCGTAGATGGTGGACAGGCTTTGGGGAGTCAGAAAGAGAGTTACTCGCCACAGTATTCCTAACCTATGACCTGCTCTTATAGCCACTGCACTTATGTGGTGAGTCCAGTTGAGTTTCTAATCAATGACGACTCCCAGGACGTTGATAGTGGGGAAATTCAGTGATGATAACATCATTGAATGGCAAGGGGAGGTGGTTAGATTGTCTTTTATTGGTGACGGTCATATCTTGGCATATGTGGCACGAATGTTACTTGCCACTTGTCAGCCCAAGTCTGGATATTGACCAGATTTTGTTGCATTTCGACATGGACTGCTTCAGTGTCGGAGGAGTCGTGTACGGTGGTGAACTTTGTGCAATCATTGGCGAACCTCCATCATAAGGTCACAAGTGGGGATGTAAGGTCATTGATGAAGCAGCTGAAGTTGGTTGGGTCGAAGACACTACCCTGAGGAACTCCTGCAGAGATGTCCTGGAGTGGAGATGAATGACCTCCAACAACCACGACCATCTTCCTGTGTGTGTCAGGTATGACTAACCACCAGAGAGTTTGCCCCCAATACCCACGGATTTCAGTTTTGCTACAGCTCCTTGAAACCACACTCAGTCGAATGCAGTCTTGATGTCAAGGCCTGTCACTCTCACCTCACTTCTGGAATTCATCTCTTCTGTCCATGTTTGAACCAAGGCTATAATGAGGTCAGGAAGTGAGTGGCCCTGACGGAACCCGAACTGGGTGTCACTGAGCAGCTGCTGCTTGACAGCACCTTCCATCACCTTACTGACGATTGACAGTGGACTGATGGGGCAGTAATTGGCCGGGCTGGATTTGTCTTGCTTTTTATGTACAGGACATACTCGGGCAATTTTCCACTATGTCAGGTAGATGCCAGTGTTGTAACTCTACTGGAACAACTTGGCTAGGGGAGCGGCAAGTTCTGGAGCACGAGTCTTCAGTACTATTGCCAGAATATTGTCAGAGCCCATAGCCTTTGCAGTATCCAGTGACTCCAACCGTTTCGTGATATCACATTGAGCGAATCAAATTGGCTGAAGACCGGGATCCATAATGCTGGGAACCACTGGAGGAAGCTAAGATGGAGCATCCATTCGACACTTCTGGTTGAAGACAGCTGCGAAAGCTTCAGCCTTATCTTTTGCACTGATGTGCTGGGCTCTTTCATCACTGAAGATAGGGATATTTGTGGAGCCTCCTCCTCCAGCGAGTTCTTTAATCGTCCACCACCATTCATGACTGCAGAGCTTATATTTGATCCGTTGGTTGTGGGATCGCTTAGCTCTGTCTCTCACTTCCTGTGTATGCTGTTTGGCGTGCAAGTAGTCCTTTGGTAGCTTCACCAGGTTGATACCTCATCTTCAGGCATGTCTGGTGCTGCTCCTGGCGTGCCCTCCTACACTCCCCATAGAACTAGGGTTGATTCCCAGGCTTGATGGTAATGGTCGAGTGGGGGATGTGCGGGCCACGAGGTTACAGATTGTGCTGACTACATTTCTGTTCGAATTGATGGCCCACAGCGCCTCATGGATCCCCAATCTTGAGTTGCCAGATCTGTTCGAAGTCTGTCCATTTAGCAAAGTGATAATGCCACACAACACAATGGAGGTTATTCTCAATGTGAAGGCAGGACTTCGTGTCCACAAGAACTGTGCGATGATCACTCTTACTAATGCTGTCATGGACAGGTGGATCTGTAGCTGACAGATTGGTAAGGGGTCAAGTTTGTTTCTCCCTCTTGTTGGTTCCCTTACCATCTGCTGCAGACCCAGTCTAGCAGCTATGCCCTTTAGGACCGGACTAGCTCAATCCGTAGCACTGCTGTCGAGCCACTCTTGGTGGTGGACATTGAAATCCCCCACCCAGAGTACATTTTGTGCCCTTGCCATCCTCAGTGCCTCCTCTAAGTATTGTTCAACATGGAGGAGTACTGATTCATCAGCTGAAGGAGGAGAGTATGTGGTAATCAGCAGGAGGTTTCCTTGCCAGTGTTTAACCTGAATGAAACTTCATGGGGTCCGGAGTCAATGCTGAGGAATCCCAGAGCAGCTCCCTCCTGACCGTATACCACTGTGCCGCCACCTCTGCTGGGTCTGTCCTGCTGGAGAGACAAGACATATCCAGGGATGGTGACGGTGGTGGTGGTGTCTGGAGCATTGTCTGTAAAGTATGATTCCACGAGTATAACTATGTCAGGCTGATGCTTGACGAGTCTGTGAGACAGCTCTCCCAATTTTGGCACTAGCCCCCAGATGTTAACGAGGAGGACTTTGCAGAGTCAACAGGGCTATTTCTGCTGTTGTCTTTTCCAGTGCCCAAGTTGATGCCAGATGATCCATCTGGTTTCATTTCTTTGAGACTTTGTAGCGATTGGTACAACTGAATGGCTTGCTAGGCCCTTTCAGAGGGCAACTGAGAGTCAACCGAGAGTCAACCACATTGCTGTGGGTCTGGAGTCACCAGGTGAGGATGGCTGACTTACTTCCATATTAGTGACCCAGATGGGTTTTTCTGAACGATCAACAATGGTCTCATGGTCGCCAGTTGATTCTTAATTCTAGATTTGTTTTGACTGAATTCAAATTCCACCATCTGCCATGGCAGGATTCGAACCAGGGTCACCAGAACATTATCTGGGACTCTGGATTAATAGCTTAGCATTAATACCACTCTGTGATCACCTTCCCTGTACACCAACATAGATACCTTAAACATGTACAATTATGAAAACAAATGCAGTTGGTGCAATGTTGTTTGTTAATTCAGCTAACATTGTTGCCTCAGTGGGAGGAGCTAGTCAGTCAATGTGATCAGCTCAAATCAACACAAATATTTATTTTTCTTCCTAAAGTCATGAAAATAAGCATTTCCATGCCTTATAATCCAAAGACTGTTTTGCATCCAGAACATTTTTAAAAAATTTTTTGTATCTCATCCAAAGACTTTTAATAGGCAATTAAGGGGAGGCAATGGCCTAGTAGAATTATCATTGGTCTGTTGATCCAGAGACCCAGATAATATTCCCGGGACCTGGGCTCTAATCCCACCATGGAAGATAGTGCAATCTGAATTCAATTAAAAATCTGGAATTAAGAGTTTAATGATGACAACAAATCCAATGTCGATTGATGGAAAAATGCATCTGGTTCACTGATGTGTTTTAGGGAAAGAAAACAGCCATTTTTACCTGGTCTGGCCTATATGTGACTTCAGGCCCAGTGTGTGGTTGACTCCTAACTGCCTTCTGGGCAATAAATGCTGGCCATTTATCCCACGAATGAAAGAAACAAAAAAAAATCTCATCAACCTGTTCAGAGATGTGATCACACACCTTTGGAGCATGAGAGACTAGAACCCAGGGCTTCTGGTTTAGCATTAGGGATACCTTCACTGTGCCACAAGGCCCCCTTTATCCACAGACTTACTTGCCCCACTTTATTGTCTGCAGCTCATCATTATCTAGTAAACTGCTCTATTCCTGATTACTCAGAACAATACAATCATCTTCTGAAATAATATATCAATGCACAGAGTGAGAATTTCTAATACACAAATGTTATCAGCATCATTAGTGATTCACTGCTCTGGTACAAAGACAAAAAAGAAAGAAGTTCCCAAAGAGCTGATGTCAGCCAGGGCAACATAGTCTAAGTTAACACAACCAGCTTTGGCACTTACTGGCAACA